TAAGGGTGTCATGGTTGTTCAAAGAGTTCCTTTTCGGGCTTGTAGAGTTTAAGATGTGTTTCATTGACTTCACACGTACCTTTTTCAACGGCATTGTCAAATCTTTAATCAAGTTTTTAAGGATCCAATACAGGTTTGAGACGGGTTTCCATGGTGATTTCACAAGGTTTTGCAAGGGTCTAAAACCGAAGTTACATTAAGCTGTGGCTACAAGAGAACTATCTACTTGGTATTCTCTGTCGCATAGCTTGCAGCTGAAGTTGCTTAAGCATGCAACACGGCCCCAGGCAAGCTTCAGGGGAGTTACTGTACTTAGAGCATCAGGGAGCTTTAAGTAGCCTTTAGTTTTCAGGGAGCTTTTTGAGCACTCCAAAGACAGTGAGCCCAGAACTCACCGGAGCTGGGATCCCTCAGAGCAGCAGGGAACATACCCTAAACCCTGAGTCCTGCACCCTCAGGTCATAAGGTTGAGGATGATTTCAAAACAGTTCTAGAGCCGGAATCCCCCAAAATTCAGGGAGGAAGTGGGATGAATGCTCAATACACGCATGTGCTCTGTGCTCTTGCCCCATCTGCCCAGAGAGATCCGGTCTGAATCTTAAGTCCTGCGGCAAAGAAGCCTAAACCTTAGAAGCTGCTCCCACCCTGTAATAGTGACTATAAGGGTTATATTAGGGCCCTATTATATTCCTATTATACCACTATTACAGGGTGGGGGCAGCTTCTAGCCTAAACCCCAAAGACCTCAAAACAATCCGTCATGAAAACACAGAAGAGAGCAATCGTAAGCCATACTACAAACGATGAACCCCACATGAGTCCCAAACAAAACCCCTCAAGCCCAAAACCCTCAACCCTGAACCATGTGGGTAGACCTCCGCTCGGTGCAGCGCAGCAGCTTGCAGAAGCTCAGTGGGGTCCTGTCCAAAAAGGGGCGCACCGTGGGGAGTTACTCAAGATGAAGTTTGTTGGGGGGACGTGTCAGGATAAGGTGTCTTCTTTAAACAGGGTTGCTAAAGATATTTACGAGGGTTTCGAAACGAAGGGGTGTGTATTATTTCTACTAGAGCTTCAGAACTTAAGAACTTGAGAGTGAGGATGCCAGTGACGGTTCTCCATTCTGCGAGCTGGCTTGCACCACGCTCCATCCCATCATGACGGCTACGTTGTGCTAAATATCTTATGCCAAGGTCAGATACATGTCCACTGTCCACATATATTTCGGGCTGAACATCCTGAAGATTCCTTGACCCTGAACCCGTTTGTTTGACCAGTTCTCTGGCTCTGTTCGATGGGCATGCAGATCATTGTCACGCACATGATGTTGGCAAGAAGCATGGAATTGCTTGCATCGCCGTAGCATGAAGTCCGAAATCTTTGGCACCGGAGTCCAAGCCACAAACTCCAAACATTACCACACAGCGAGGCCAGTCCAAAGAACAAAGCCTCAGATCGCGTTCCATGCAAGATCAAATACCCTAAGCGCCCAAACCCCAAAACCCTGAACCCGGAAACCCCAAACCCAAATCCCAAAGCCCCAAACCGCAAACCTTGAACCCTAAGTCCTCGGGAGCCGCGACGACGTTCTGGCTCGGGCCGTAGCCGAATTGGGTGCAAGGGCTCATCAGGCTGAGGCCGACACCTCTCAGGGCTTTAAGGTTTAGGGCTTAGGGTTTAGGGGCTTAGGGGCTTAGGGGTTTAGGGCTTTAGGGTTTGGGATTCAGGGCTTTAGGGCTTTAGGTTTTTTGGGCCTCGAGTTTAGGCGCGTAGGGTTTGGGGTTTAGGGCTTACTTGTAGCTGTAGCCGAAACAACCTGCCATTTTGAGGCGTCCGTTTTTTCGGTTCTATATGCAATTCCACAACAAGGTAAGCTTTTGGGGCCACAGGTAGGGTTTAGGGGTGTAGGGTTTCTTTACAGATTAGCGATGCCCCTTTGTGTCGGAATGTGTCCGCATTCTGGCAACTTATGCCAAGTCCCTTAACACATCCTCAGGAAGGATCCTATAATTGACGGATTCGGCAGGCATTTGCAACCAGATGATGAATAAGGTTCCCAATATCCCACGAACTAACCTGCCTAAAGCCTATACACCGTACACCCATGTACACCGTCACCACCATAAAGTTTACTTATAACAAATCCTAAACCCTAAGAACCTACCTACGGTACTATAATCCTAAACCTAGAGCCTAAATCCTAAATCATAAAATCCTAAAACCTTAAATTCTGAACCCTAAATGGGAGTTTCAGAATATTAGGATACCTAATTTTGGGGTCCTTATAATAAGGATCCTAGTATTCAAGGTACTATGTTAGGGTCCCCTATTTTCGGAAACTCCCAAATCACCAAGCTCCGGAATCCACGAGAGTCAGGCTCCCAGTCCCGGGCTCAGGGAGTCTAGGGTTCCTTGCCGTCGGGACTCGCCCTACAACTCTGAATGGGGTTTAATAGGGTTTAGGGCTTATAGGGTTTAATGGGGTTTAGGGTTTAATAGGGTTTAGGGTTAGGGTTTAGAGGGTTTAGGTTTAATAGGGTTTAGGGTTTCACAGGGTTTAGGGTTTATATGGTTTAGGGTTTTTAGGGCTGTGGGTTTGTTTGGGTCTCATAGGGCTTAGGGTTTTGGGGCTCATAGTGCTTAGGGTTTTGGGACTCATACGAGTAGGGCCCTAACTTAGGGCTTTGGGGTTTTTGCATGGCTTAGGGTTTTGGGGGGTTCTGGGCTTAGGGTTCCTAACCCCTCAAACGTTTAGGGTTTGGGCCCCATGAAGCATGAGCAACTGGTGAGAAACCCACCGCGTACTCAGAGCTCGACTTCCAGAGGCACAAGAGTTCTAGCCGCTAGCCCGATTCGGAAAGCCGGAATTTGAAGCACTTCTCATTTCTCTCCGACGTGACCTGATGATAACACGGAGATGGTTTCAAAGGATATCCAAAACCCACTCCCATCGTCGGACTAACCCGAGCTGCCTCCGTCGTTACCCACTGCCGACGCAGTCCCGAAACTCGGAAAACCTTCATCAGGGATCCATCAAGTGCTTAGGATAATAAGATTCAGTTTGGGGATGTTTAGGGTGTTGGCTGTGAGGGTCTTCAGGTTGCAAGGTGTTTCTATTTTGTGTGCTTTTGTCGAGCGCTTTTTCAGGTTGTTGAGGATAGGGTTCTGGCTGCATGTGGGGTGTAGATGTTTACGGGTCTCGGCGGCGTGTGGGAAGCATGACTTCCATTGATGCTACTAACTACTACTGCCTCTAAGTGCATACACAAACAATGGGACTAGCTTTCATCATGGTAGCGACGAATGTTAAAACCGGAGGAATAGCAGTAGCATCTAACCACACCAGGTTTGGCCAACGAACAGAGCCTATGCAACTGCATGCAACATGTCAACTTGCGCTATTGGACCGCGTGAGCGGTTCCTTCCGCCAGCAAATGCCTCGGGTTGCCGGGGTTCAGATGCAAAGACATGGAATCCCGGCCAAGGGTTCAGATGCAAAGACTTTGGAACCCCGGATGGAGAGGCAAATGTTAGCATCGAACTCCCGGCTGCCGCCAGCAAGGCCTTAAGCTGAGCCAGAACTCGTGCACTAGACCATTTTGGGCCACTGCTCCCATGGCTACCATGCTCACCTCCTTGCTACCACCGTGGTAGTGGAATAAGTGTTTCTTGCTGCTGTGACCAGGTTTGGCTGGCATGTCTATCTTTGTGCTGTTGTCACATCATGAGATCGTGTGACATACTACGTATTATTCCTATTAGTACTAATACTACCATTATTAGTATTACTACTATTGCGATTAATACAAGTATGATTATTACTACTATTACATGCCTCGACTAGCGACTCGTCCTGTTTCACGCCGCGCGCTGCTTCGTCTTGGAAGTTTTTCTGCCTTACACTCCTGGTAGTCTCGGCTGTTCATGTTCCCCAGAACCCTAAACCCTTACAGCCCTAATCCCTGGAATGTTGGGTTCCGAATCCCTAATCTTCCAAACTCGAAGCGGCATTCCTTAATTAAGGAGTATTGGAACCCTAAACCCTATACCCTATAGATCCCTTATAGATCCCTTATAGATCTCTTATAGATCCCTTCTAGATCCCTTATAGATCCCATGCCTGAGATCTCCTGCGTTTGGGCGCTGAGGAGGGCATGGTCAAAGTCGGCGAGTTCCGCGAGTCGCCTGTGCTCGAAGTGGTTGCTGGGACGGCTTCGGCTTTATAAGGCGTAGAGTTTGGGGTTTAGAGTTTAGAGTTCAGGGTTTAAGGTTTAGGGTTTAGACGGGCATGGTTTTGGGGTTTAGAGAGCAGGGTTCAGGCAATTAATAGGCCGGAAGACCTGTCAAGAGGGTTGTAAGTAAGCTTGTTACCTCAACAAGCCCGAACTAGGTTGAATTCAACCCTTCCGAAACCCCCACCTACGAAGGTATCGATCATGAATCATGCTGTAAACCCTAAAAGCCCCTAATTTAAGTAGGCTATTGAAGTTCGGCAGATGAGCTTTGGCTTCAGGTTCTGCTGCGTAAGCATGGCCCTCAGGGCAAAGCCCCCAAGCCCCAAAGGGTACAGGACAGCCTCTGCGTGTCGTCGACTGGTTGACTTACCTGACATGGAGTGAGGGCACATGCTGTTGAACCCAAACTCGTTTCACGGAATGTGGACAAGGCCTGGGAAAAACAAACTCTTGGTGTGCTTCTGCTGTCTACTTTGCACATACTCAGTAACACTGGCGATACAATTGAATATTTGGACGGATGGAATTGTTGCGTGCTGCTTGCTCCCGCATGTCGGACACTGGTTGATCGTTGCCCTGCGCATCTAAGATGCTGAGGCTTCTGAGCTGTACAAAACGCAAATTGTGCGGCACGAGGTCCTTGCAACAAATTAGGGAAAGTGTGACTTCAATGTCTTGCTTGAGTCACCTGTTCCGGTCGTGCTGGAGTTGAGCACGCCAGAGGAAAAACATGACTACTGGCTCCCTGGCGCAAGGAAACTGCCTATCTCAGCAGAGGTAGCGGCAAGTAAGCAAGCTGAGGATCATGAATCCAACATTCAAGTGCACAGCTGCTGAAAACCCGTTGGAGCTCGTGCCTCCGGTGCACTCGGGGAAAGCAACGAGCCAAGATGATGTGCCGTTGTCCACTGGGACGCAGGGGCCCTGCTCATAGACCTGCGTCGTTGCCTCACCGCTGCAGTCATTGGTGCCGTACACGTTGTGAGCGATCGACCCTTCAATGCAAGTGAATTCTTGCGAGCTTGTCGAGCCGGTCATTGTGCAGGGACCCAGCTGGACGGAGTAAGTCGCATCCAGCACTGAACAAGCTCCGTCCGTATAGATGCTGATGTTCCCTGAAATTCCTGCAAATGCAGTCGTTGTGGTGGTAGTGCAAAGCTCTGCAACTTCCTCGTCGGAGCCAAGCATAGTGGTCATCGTATATCGCCCCCCGCCGGCTGCAGAGCAGGACTTCAAATCGCCAGTTCTGGGGGAGCACATCTGGCTGCCGGTACAGTCGCTGTTGCTGTAGTAGCACTGCAGCCGCTTCTCCCCGTAACACGACGGCAAACGACTGAGGAATCCGGCGACGGCATTCGAGGCGACGCAGAGTAAAGGACTCAGGGAAGTACTGACAGGTGTGCCAGAACAGTTCTCATCACCCACATCATAGATGAGCGTAAGTGTCCCAGGAGCTGTCACCAACTTCACCTTCTCGTACACAGCCGTGCTGGACTCCACGCACTGGTCGAGCGTCGTGGTTGTATTGACGTTGGGTGTATCGGAACACTCGGCAGAAACGTTGTAGTGGGTATACTCTATCAGCCTTGCACCCTCGACGACGTAGTTTTTCCCGGCAGCACCATTGGCACCTCCACAACCAAGGCCCAGGGCTACTGTTCCGATCCGCCCCAGCACGGTGTCTTCCGTCCTTGATTGACCAAACCGAAGCAGTTTCTAAAAGTTAAACAGTTAAACTAGACCACTACACGCCAAGGGAAATCGAAGACTCACATAAGTGCCTGCCAGAGCGTCAAGTTGTTCGTAGCACAGTCACTGCTAGAGAACTGCTCTTTGATGGCCCACTGGATGGACGAAGCAGAAGCACCTGCCCTCAGGATGGCTGAAACGAACACCATTCCTCTTGCCAGCATTTTGTCTGCTAGGTCAGGTGTCAGATAGCCACAAGGAGCACCTGTCTTGAGCCAAAAGCCTCTGAACGAAAACGACTTGGCCCGCAAGAGATTAAGCACACACTATGCAAAGTTTCCTGCTTGCTCGTGGTGTCACAGATTTTAGAAACCCGGACAGTGGAGCTCAACAGCAAGCTGAACCAAAGGAAGGTTTAGATCTGAGCAAAGGGCTGGTGCCACTGCCGTGTGTGGCTCAAAGCGTGGCGGCAAGCCACTCCTCCCGACACCACACCAGATGGATGTGAGGACTTCCGGTATGTTTTGTGCTTGTGGTTTAAAGGCTTCTAGGCTTTAAGGCTCTAAAGCTTGCAGGTTTTCTGCATGATATTGTAGCAGAGGTTTGAAGCACAGGACATCGTGGCACCACTTCCGCCAAGGAGCTCGCGAAACAGTGGATCTGATACCGCTGTCAACTAATGCCTATGGGTGACTTCTGGGTGGGCTGCAGCTTCACTCGAGATCCTTCACTCATAAATCACCCACTCCACCGCTCAAGACAGCACTTGCAACTTCACAGCATGCAGCGTGCCTTTGAAACCCAGCACCATACCATGCGGCAGGAGCTGTTCCTTCCCCCAAGGGATCCATGTACCCAAATAGTCTATACTTTGGCCCCAAAGTACCAATACAGGGATACTTTAAGGCCTAAGTATATACTAGTGACTAGTGGGGTACATGGATCCTTAGGGTCAGGAGTTGAACACGCAAGAAGCCAAGCGTTGCTGTTTTTGTACCGCGCGCAAGGGGCTAACACAGTAGCTCTCGGAAATGAGCCCAGCCGATTAGCTTGAGGGACCGAACGTACTCGAGGGGATGTAAAATTAGAAGAAACTTCTGGCATGTTGTACTAAATTACTAAATTATCATCGGCACGGAAGAATATTCATGATTACATAGGCTGCTCGAGTAGATGTCTGTGGTGCTTAGAGACGGAGGTGTACTGCCCAAGAGAAAACGTGCAGTAGCTAAGGAAGCGTGTGCCCAACGCCTTACAAAACCTGAGCCCAAACCCTTGAACCCGAAACCCCTAGCACTCAACCCCCGACCCTCAAAAACATAGCCTTAGCCCCCATCCCTAAACCGTTAAAACCCAACCCCTCTAAACCCCTATAGCCCAACCCCTACATACCCCTATAGCCCAACCCCTATATACCCCTACAGCCCGACCCCTACACACCCCTATAACCCAACCCTATATATTCCCCTAACACCCAACTCCTACATACCCCTAAAGCCCTGACCCCCAGACCCCGAAAAAGCAACCCACCGGCAAAAAGCGCCAAATGCTGGCGGCCTTGAGGCCAGTGGCTCGGCCTCGGAACTCCAAAATTCGCTTTAGGGGTTTAGGAGTTTGGGGGTTTAGGGTTTGGAGGTTTAGGGTTTTAGTGGTTTAGAGGTTTAGGGGCTTAGGGCTTAAGAGTTTGGAGGTTTAGAGGTTTAGGGGTTTAGAAGCTTGGGGGTTTGGGAGTTCAGGGCAGGGTCTCTACGGGACGAGTCGGGTTACAGCAAGCACTTCATAAGGGCTTCAATGGCCCCGGCGGGAAGCGAACTAAGAGAACTGTTGATGTGTGCACTCGCATACAAAGCAGTGAAGTACAACTCCAAGTGCATCTGGAGAAGCCGACCTCTCTCAGGCATAGGCAATGGCTGTGCAGAGCCATGGCCAAGAAACATCACCGCACCATGGTGCTGACCGTGCACGAAGCACACGCAACCACAAAAGCTAGGAGAGGAAGCAAGGGTTCCCAATACACTCAGATTATTTTGATTTCAATTGTGTTTATCGGATCTTACTATGTTCTTCAAGACATTAAAACAATTGATTTAGTCTTATATACCGACTGGAAATCAAACGGTCTGGAGTCTGGAGGCCCTGTCGGACCACACCGCATGCTTGCTCGTGGTCTTGCCATGCTCTCTTGACGGCAACCTCCAGGGCTACAAGCCCCACCTTCGGAACAACTCTTCTCTATCGGGCCCGAGGCTAAGCCTGTGCAGCGGCGGCCGGGCGATTGGGGCAGAGTCGGGCATGTCGTGGCTTCGGCCAGTAAGGCGCTCCGGCAAGCGTACCTCTTTTAAGTCCTACGCTGCGGCCTTGCCGGATGAGTCATCAAGCCGTGACAGGATCCTCTGGAAGCTCGCATCAGCCAGTAAATGGTGCAGGGGTCGACAACTTGCACACCACAAGGAAGTTCTCTGTCTGAACTCCGTCGCAGATGCCGCAGATCTTTTGGGGATTCCACGCACTCTCTGTCCGCCAAGAGCTCCGAGCGTCACCAGTCTCAAAGCAGCCCCATACTCTGTGTGCGTACATAATATATATATATATATATATATATATATATATATATATGTATATATATATATATATATAAATGCATACCCGTGCGTATGGGGGAGTAACTGTGTGTGTTCACATATGTCTAATGTCTATGCTACAAATACGAACACGGGGACATTAGATGTACGTTGGTATGTAGCAGCTAGCCCCGAATCATGGGGAAGAAACCCGCCACGTAGTCCACCTCGAGACTGCTGGAGTGACGTCTCGAATCCAGATGCAGTAAGAGCATGATGCAATGCCTGGGCTGTTGCTTGAGAGCCTACTTCAAGTTATCACTTGACACTATACATAAATAAAGAAGGAGAAAGAGAAATAGTCAGAGAGAGAGAGAGACAGGGAGAGAGAAGAATAAAATGAAGATCTCGCTGTTATAATTCGTTAAACTAGGTTCTTTTTTAACAACCCGGATGCAAGGTCATTGCTATGAGCACGTGCCACCAGGTGTGCAGCTGCGGGTACGGCAAGCCCCCCGGCAAGTTCCGCAGCGCGCTGCAGAAGTAGTTGTCCAGTAGCCAGGAAACCACCGAGAGAGCAAACATCAGCAAGGCACAATACAGGATCCCTTCCTGAAGGCTGAGAGTGGCTGCAAGGGGCAAGGCTTCCTCAGGCGCTTTGGGCTGCACAAGTCTCCCAGTACCCTTATACTTGATTGACGTCCAACAAACCTACTTTAAACACTTCGCGCACAGGGTGACTGCTCGGGGGAGTGCCGCAGAGGCATCAAGACCCGACAATGCTGCGTTACAGTTCACAGCCTGAGACTCATGGAGCACCGATCAAGAAATGCACATCTTGGCAAGCCCTGTCGACCTGACTTAGTAAGATTCGAGCTGCTGCCCGGAACCCTAAACTTCAACCTCACTCCTGCTGACCCTCCTAAACCCTAAAACCGATTAAATGGTGCTTCCCAGCTTCCGCAGCAGCGGCAGCTCGACGCTGCTTGTCGGAGACTTCTCGCTTGATCCTGGGGTTTAGGATTTTTGTTGCAAGGGTTCTAGTTCTAGCCTACATCGGGTCCCGCATGATCAGAAACTCGCAAGTAAGATCCCCACCCGGAACTCTCAACTCAACCCTCAACCCTAGCCCCTGCGCCCTGAAGCAGTAATAGTACACATAATTTCTAACAGTCAGAAAATAATCCGAAGTTTAACAATAATGACAACAGGAACTGGGAAACTCTTACGAACACCAGAAACCGTTTTGACGACCCTCAGCCCTGCCTCGCAACCAGTGCAGAGGCACCCCACCCTGGCCGTGTGGGCAAGGCCCACATTTTTTGAAGCACAATTACCAATTTTCTGGCAGGGTGCATTGTGAATTCGAGAAAAGGGTCACGAGGAAGCTCCTATAACAGTATACTTTAGGTTGTCAGGAGCTTCAGGGCTTCGGCTGACTACACAAGCGAGTGTTTGGTTTCAGCGGTCAGGTTGGAGGGCCGCACCGACCACCAGGAGACATGGCCATGGGGGTCGAAGGAAAACATGCAGGGGCCTTGAGTTTTTGGGTGGATGCCCATACGGGAATCCTTATCACTCCATATTCTGTACTAGAGCCCTCTCCCGAGCGCCTATCACGACAAGGCCTGTGCTGAAGGACAGGGTCATGAGGCCACGAAAAATCCTGGAGCGAGAGCTCAGAGGTGTGTATTCGTGTTGATGTTACTGTTTAAGCTTTAGGGTTTTAAGGCAATGAAGGGGCTTTAAACTTGGAATAGGGTTTTGGGGTATGCTATACTATAGTTATAATAAGGAACCCCCAAAATAGTATAGGTAATCATTTGGGCCCCTATAGTCTATGCTCAAGGGGCTTAGGCCGGCGCTCAAGACCCCGACGAGAGCCCACACAGGCATGGATCCCTGAAAAAAGGAATATGGATTATAATTGTAGGAGCATTAATAATTAGAATAAGGTTTTGGGCGCATTATGCTCTCGTTATTTAAGCCCCTTTATTATAGGGTCTTGGGGCGGTGAGGGGGTTAGTGCTTGCGGGTTTCAGGATTTCGAGGTCTTCGGGTATCTTCGGCGTTGCCGTTGCAGTCAGTTGTGCGGCAGCTAAAACGTGCTGCGACCCAGCGTCTCATGGATGAAGGAGTGCTGCTCTGTAACCTTGGAGAATGAACGCCATGGTACAGTAAGGGTCCCCTGCTGCATCAGTGCTGCATCTCTCTCAGCCTGCATGTCAGCAGTGTTGTTCAGCTGGCGAAAATGCCGCTGGGCACAAAGCCCGTCCATTCCCAATAGCAACCACAGCATCAACACTAGCCATGGTGTGTGAAGTAGACTTGCCACTGCAATCTACCACAGAAGCAAACTAACACAAAAACAAAACTCATGCCCCTCACTCATGTGCACATATATCTAAGTATATGCATGCACGTGAGTGAACTGACAAAGTTCTGAGCATCCTCACCACAGCAAGTCTTCGGAGTGGGAAAATGGTAGACGACAGCCACAAGACCAATGATTGTCACGACGGTGAAGGTCACTGTTGCGATCTGTGACGCCACAGCCTGTAGCCACTGTAGTCACTCGTCACAGCAGAATCACAGGGATAAAGCACAGCAGCCATCATCACCACCATCTCGATCGGATCCACCGTGATAACCCTGGCTCAAAGCTGACAGCACAATGAAACGTTACGAAGTACCAACGACCAATGGCAATGCTCAGGCCCAGGCCAGGATTGTCCCCGTGACAACCGCCACCCACCCGGTAGTCAAGTACGAGACATCGATGTCTCGCAGCCGCCACAAGCAGCTGGAGTCCACGGCAGCCACATACCTGTGATTTGCGACTTGGGTTTCGTACTTTTCGGTCTCGCGACAAGCGACGAGGGATGGTTTCTTGAGAAGTTTAGACCGGACGGCTCACCTGGGATGCTGTTTGCCGGCACGACAATACAGACCTGATCGACCTGAAATTGCTCTGGCTTGCATTGCATGCTGCCACAGCATCGGGATCTCGTCAGCAAGCTGCATCGGATATCTCAGCGTCGCATGGAAGAGGATGCTACCCACAGCAATGGCGACTTCGAGCCATCCGATGACCGTGTTGTCTAAGGTTGCCTGGTGCGGAAGCATCAGGCTTGAGTTATGCTGCCTCAAGTCAAGGATACTATATCAACCTGACTAAGAAACCCTGGGCCTATAACCCCGAAATAGTAGGATTCGTATAATGAACCCTGGTGAAGGCCCAAGGTTTCTTAATCAGGTTCCTGCATCATAATTGATGCGAGCATGGGTCCCAACAACATGACGGGACGGAGCTCTCTCTTCGATGCGAGCCTCGTGCGTTGCAAGGAACATGAGTGGCAGAGCGACCATGACCAAGCAAGAGGCCGTGTTCACAGGCTCTGCGATCCAGTCCACGAGCTGATAGTCCTGCGAGCTGAGTGCAAGACAAGTACCTTTTGCGAGGTTGCACGGCGCAGAAGATCTGACCAGACGTCACAGCTCCAGGTGCCAACCGTCAGCTGAAGACTACTGTCACCCCAATGAACAAAAGTGGCATGAAAACTCGATGGTTCGATTACGGACATACGCCACTCCATGGTATCATGCAATGGCGATGGCCACACGTGGAGCCCAACACCTCCCTCACAAAGGCTCCAGCTCGCACCAGTTGAACTCGGCATCTGGCTGGCCCCAGTAACCAGCGCGGCTAGTGGGGCTCTTCTTGATTTCTTCTGGGATCCTCGGCGGCGAGCATGGCAAAAGCCTCCTTCCCTTATAGGGTTTAAGGTTTAAGATGGGAGGTACAAGATGAAGCAAATGTGCAAACCTTCAAAGCGCTCACGAGTTGACCGCCCTACTGACTATGATGAAGCGAAGGACGGATCTGGAAATCCGGCCATTGCAACTGCTGCTGCTGCTGCTGACCCTACTCCCGCTCCTACCACTGCTACTACTAACACTACTATTACTACTACCCCAACCACTACCACCACCACCAGCACCACTACCACCACCACCACGACCACTACCACGACCACCACCACTACTACTACTACTACTACTACTACTACTACTACTACTGCTACTACTACTACCACTACTACTACTGCTACTACGACTACGACTACTCTACTTCTTCTACAACTACAACTACTACTACTACTACTACTACTACTACTACTACTACTACTACTGCTGCTGCTGCTGCTACTACTACTACTGCCGCTACGCAGTGATCACTAGCACTACTGTATCAATGTCACTTCAACTGTTAACACTACTGCCACATACATTTTCGGCGGACACTTGGATAAACCCCAGCCGTCTGCAAATCAAGCCACGCAAAGAAGTAGCAAGTTGATGTGAAACACATCAACGTAGCCAAAGCGGATGCAACGATCCATGGCCGCATGTGGCTCAAGCTCTCGCATCGAACTGCAACCTGCTCTAATCTGTTGACAGTTCCTGCTTGGGCCTCCGACCAGAAAGCTCAAAAAAGTGCCTTCATCTGCCACATGCGCGATTCGTACTAGCAGACCAGCAGCACTGGCGGAGCCGGGTGTAACAGCTACAGATCGACTGCCACATGGCACGCCTCACCAAGCATGCGCACTCAGGACTTGAACGAAACTGCCGAGGAAAGCCGGAAATCGGGTGTACCAGAACACCCTCGCCCTTTCTCGGATGGCTTCGTCGGAGCGGGATCAAAACAAGATAGCACAGGAAGCGCTAGATCAGGGCGCCAGGCGCACGATAAGCCCTAAAGTCTAAACCATCGGGTCGGTGGGTCTTTGAGTCCAGGAAGGTGGCCAGCAGCTGCGTTTCTCCAGAACGGCGCCTGAGCACCATAGCCAGCTCGGAACCTCCGAGGCGTCCGCCATTGTAGTGCCCAGAGCCGCATTTGTTTCAGGAGGGCTGCCAGAGCTCCAGCTTGTTCCACTGCAGAAGTAGCCCAATGACGTAGATCTCCCATTGCACTTCGCCAAGAGCCCAACACCCTAAACCCTAGAAGCCCCGAAGCCGTCAAAAAGAGGCCACCTCAGCCACGCCCCTCGGGCCCTCCCCTTGGGTGGAGATTTCGGAGCTCCCGCAGCCGTAACAACCAGGGAGCCTCGAACTCCAGGCGCTGGAAGGAAGCCTGCATGCAAGGACGCAGCCCATGACATGGTAGAAGGTACCAAAAAGTAATGTAGTATAATGCCAGAGGTTATATGATGCAGTGTAACAGACTGCAATATCATGTGAGGCATTCCAAAACTGACGTTGAAGCAAATGATGCTGATGATGCGTCAGAAACACAAGGACCGAGTGCAATTCGAAGCTTTGTTGACAAAACGCTCATGGCCAGCAGAATCAATTCTTGAACGCGATTGCGGCACAGCCTTGGAGCAAATTATGCCGATGATGGGTGGCTGGCGTGGTCTTTCAAAGCATTCCAAAATGACATTGCAACAAAGAATGTGGTGATGGGTGGCTGGTTTGGTTTAGCAGGCTTTCCAACAAAATCCTTGGAGAAAACGATGCTGACAATGAGTGGGTATGATAGTTCGGTATGATATGGGCATGGGAGTAAGTCGAGCAAATCTTATGCCCCAATTAACTTGCAAGGATCATTCCGTCCTGAAGGAGGGAAGGGAAGTGCAGAGATCTGAAGCAGGAAGGGTTGGAAGTTGGACTAGCGGATTTAGGGCATACAGTGTTTCACGTGGCTCAGAAATCCCCAAAAGAGTCTGAGCTAAAAGCTTTGAGAAAGTCCTATGAACACAACATGTACCATCAGATGTGCATACCGTATCAGAACACTAGATTCACTAGATATGTAACTGTATTATATTGCATACCATGTATGGTACAAGAGCAATCTGCACCAGATAATATGTACAAACGAAATGTAACGTTTACCCTAATATTTCCACGGTCTCAGGCAACATAAAATTCACCATACCATATGATACATAAAGTCAAAGGGCGGTACACTACAACCCGACGGAATAGCAAGATTTAAAAGTCATACACCAGGCGACAATACAATATATTACAATTAAGATACCCACTGTAGATAAGGCAGCGCAGTGTAGTCCAAAATCGTCCGATTTCCAACAAAACACTGCAGCATGGCAGAACATGATCAGGTTCTGATGTGATATGGGAGGATATGATATGAGGCAATAGAAGAAAGTAACATCACAACATAACAGTATGGAATGCAAAGTCAGGTCATGGAATGTACCAATGTACTGCAGTATAGTATATGAACAGGCCAGCCATGATGCTCTGATTCGCCCCCAAGGTCTTCCTGGAAAGCCTTCGACAACGAGCCACGTCACGCATCATGAGCATCATTTGCTCCAAGCTGTCTCTGGAAAGCCTTCAACAAGGAGCCAAGCCACGCATCATCAGCATCATTTGCTCCAAGCTGCTTCTGGAAAGCCTTCAACAAGGAGCCGATCCACGCATCATGAGCATCATTTGCTCCAAGGTCTTTCTGGAAAGCCTTCAACAAGGAGCTAAGCCAGGCATCATCAGCATCACCTGCTCCAAGCTGCTTCTGGAAAGCCTTCAAAAGCGAGCCAAGCCATGCATCATGAGCATCATTTGCTCCAATGTCTTTCTGGATGGCCTTCAACAACGAGCCAAGCCATGCATCATCAGTATCACTTGCTCCAAGCTGCTTCTGGAAAGCCTTCTAAAAAGAGCCAAGCCACGCATCATCAGCATCATTCACTCCAAGGTCCTTCTGAAAAAGCCTTCAACAAGGAGCCAAGCCACGCATCATCAGCATCATTCACTCCAAGGTCTTCCTGGAAAACTTTCAACAAGGAGCCAAGCCACGCATCATCAGCATCATTTGCTCCAAGGTCGTCAACAAGGAGCCTAGCCACGCATCATCAGCATCATTTGCTCCAAGGTTTTTCTGGAACGCCTTCAACAAGGAGCCAAGCCACTCATCATCAGCATCATTTGCTCCAAGGTCTTTCTGGAAAGCCTGCAACAAGGACCCAAGCCACGCATTCATCAGCATCATTTGCTCCAACCCGTTTCTGGAAAGTCAAAAGCAGGCCAAGCCATGCATCATCAGCCTCATTTGCTCCAAGCTGTTTCTGCAAAACCTTCAACGAGGAGCCTATCCACGCATCATCAGCAGCATTTGCTCCAAGGTTTTTCTGGAACGCCTTCAACAAGGAGCCAAGCCACTCGTCATCAGCATCATTTGCTCCAAGGTCTTTCTGGAAAGCCTGCAACAAGGACCCAAGCCACGCATTCATCAGCATCATTTGCTCCAACCCGTTTCTGGAAAGCCTTCAACGAGAAGCCAAGCCACGCATCATCAGCATCACTTGCTCCAAGGTCTTTCTGGAAAAGCCTTCAACAAGGAGCCAAGCCACGCATCATCAGCATCATTTGCTCCAAGGTCTTTCTAAAAAAAACTTCAACAAGGAGCCAAGCCACGCATCATCAGCATCATTTGCGTCAAGGTTTTTCTGGAAAGCCTTCAACACCGAGCCAAACCACGCATCATCAGCATCGTTTGCTCCTGGGTCTTTCTGGAAGGCCTTCAAACAGGAACCGAGCCACACATCATAAGCATCAGTTGCTCCAAGCTGTTTCTGGAAAGCCTTCGACAAGGAGCCAAGCCACGCATCATCAGCATCATTTGCTCCAAGCTGCTTCTGGAAAGCCTTCAACAAGGAGCCGAGCCACGCATCATCAGCATCATTTGCTCCAAGGTCTTTCTGGAAAGCCTTCAACAAGGAGCCAACCATGCATCATCAGCATCACTTGCTCCAAGGTCTTTCTGGAAAGCCTTCAACGAGGAGCCTAGCCACGCATCATCAGTATCACTTGCTCCAAGCTGCTTCTGGAAAGCCTTCAACAAAGAGCATTTGCTGCAATGGAAAGCCTTCAACACCGAGCCAAACCACGCATCATCAGCGTTTGCTCCTGGGTCTTTCTGGAAGGCCTTCAGACAGGAACCAAGCCACACATCATCAGCATCAGTTGCTCCAAGCTGTTTCTGGAAAGCCTTCAACAAGGAGCCAAGCCACGCGTCATTAGCATTATTTGCCAAGGTCTTTCTGGAAAGCCTTCACCGACGAGCCAAGCCAGGCATTCAGCATCATTTGCTCCGAGGTCTTTCTGGAAAGCCTTCAACATGGAGCCTAGCCACGCATCATCAGCATCATTTGCAAAAAAGTCTTTCCGCAAAGCCTTCAAAAACGAGCCAAGCCACGCATCATCAGCATCATTTGATCAAAAAACCTTCCGGAAAGCCTTCAAAAAGGAGCCAACAAGCCACGCATCATCAGTATCACTAGCTCCAAGGTTTTTGCGGAAAGCCTTCAAAAACGAGCCAAGCCACGCATCACCAGCATCATTTGCTCCAAGCTGCTTCTGGAAAGCCTTCAACAAGGAGCCAAGCCACGCATCATCAGCATCATTTGCTCCAAGGTCTTCCTGGAAAGCCTTCAACAAAGAGCCAAGCCACGCATCATCAGCATCATTTGCTCCAAGGTCTTTCCGGAAAGCCTTCAAAAACGAGCCAAGCCACGCATCATCAGCATCACTTGCTCCAAGCTGCTTCTGGAAAGCCTTCAACAACGAGCCAAGCCACGCATCATCGGCATCATTTGCTCCAAGGTCTTTCTGGAAAGCCTTCAACAAGGAGCCTAGCCACGCATCATCAGCATCATTTGCTCAAAAGTCTTTCAGCAAAGCCTTCAAAAACGAGCCAAGCCACGCATCATCAGCATCATTGGTTCAAAAAACCTTCCGGAAAGCCCTCAAAAAAGAGCCAACAAGCCACGCATCATCAGCATCACTAGCTCCAAGGTTTTTGCGGAAAGCCTTCAAAAACGAGCCAATCCACGCATCACCAGCATCATTTGCTCCAAGCTGCTTCTGGAAAGCCTTGAACAAGGAGCCAAGTCCCGCATCATCAGCATCATTTGCTCCAAGGTCTTCCTGGAAAGCCTTCAAAAACGAGCCAAGCCACGCATCATCAGCATCATTCACTCCAAGGTCTTTCTGGAAAGCCTTCAACAAGGAGCCAAACCACGCATCATCAGCATCATTTGCTCTAAGGTCTTTCTGAAAAGCGTTCAACAACGAGCCAAGCCACGCATCATCAGCATCATTTGCTCCAAGGTCTTTCTGGAAAGCCTTCAACTCGCATCATCAGCATCATTTGCTCCAAGGTCTTTCTGGAAAGCCTTCAACAAAGGAGCCAAGCCACGCATCATCAGCATCATTTGCCTCAAGGTCTTTCTGCAAAGCCTTCAACAAGGAGCCTAGCCACGCATCATCAGCATCATTCACTCCAAGGTCTTTCTGGAAAGCCTTCAGCAAGGAGCCAAACCACGCATCATCAGCATCGTTTGCTCCAAGGTCTTTCTGGAAAGCGTTCAACAACGAGCCAAGCCACGCATCATCAGCATCATTTGCTCCAAGGTCTTTCTGGAAAGCCTTCAACAAGGAGCCAAGTCACGCATCATCAGCATCATTTGCTCCAAGGTCTTTCTGGAAAGCCTTCAACAAAGGAGCCAAGCCATGCATCATCAGCATCATTTGCCTCAAGGTCTTTCTGCAAAGCCTTCAACAAGGAGCGTAGCCACGCATCATCAGCATCATTTGCTCCAAGGTCTTTCTGGAAAGCCTTCAGCAAGGAGCCAAGCCACGCATCATCAGCATCATTTGCTCCAAGGTCGTTCTGAAAAGCCTTCAACAAGGAGCCAAGCCACACATTCACCAGTATCTAGCCGTGTGGGAGGTGCCAAGCCACGCATCATCAGCATAATTTGCTCCAAAATCTGTCTGGAAAGCCTTCAAAAGCGAGCCAAGCCATGCATCATGAGCATCATTTGCTCCAATGTCTTTCTGGATGGCCTTCAAAAACGAGCCAAGCTACGCATCATCAGCATCACTTGCTCCAAGGACTCTCTGGAAAGCTTTCAAAAACCAGACCAGCCGCGCATCATCAGCATCATTTGCTCCGGGTCTTTTTTGGAAAGCTTTCAAAAACGCTGAATATATATATATATATATATATACAGAGGTATGTATGTTCTTTTGAAATCATAAAGACAGACCAAGCCTGAAGGGCTGCCGCCTCTGGGCCCGAAAGGCCCATGGCTGGAAGAAAGCGGGAGACCTGTGGAAGAGACGTGTTACCATAGGGGCCCTAATAATTAGAATAGGGTTCCTTTAAAGGGATCCTTGAAGGGTTCTAAGATTCTATAAGGGATCTAAAGTAAGGTTCTATAGTACAGGGGCCTTCATTCATGCCTTAATGATCAGACCAGGGTTTCGAGGGCCCATCAGACTACAAATATACTAAGGAACCCCCAAAAAAGTATAGGTAATTATTAAGGCCCCTAAAATACTACCATACGATCACCAGGAGCTCTTTCTGACTGCGGATGGTGGGTTGCATGATTTTGGGGCACCGGAAACGATCCTCACCACGGCGAAGACATGTTCTTGCTCCAAAGTCCCCATGTGTACCGCGTGGTGTGGATACTGATGCACAAGCATGATCCTCCCCGGCATCAGCATTACAGCCAACAAGAACATCATCAACACAAAACGGCTACCAATTCTTCATACGTTCTTCTGCACAATAAACCTTCTTGCTGACATCATCACGAACAGCTGCAATGCAACCCTAATGTCGCTTGCATTCGCCCGCTGCTGATGTGCCCCTTGTTGTTGTAGGCGGCCTTGTGCCTACTTTACTGCTCTTGCTCCTGCCTGTGTGGATGTCGCCGCCTTCCTCAGCTACAAGCATGACTGCGATCATTGCGAACTGAACAACCTCAACCCCTAAACCCTAGGATTGCTGTGTCGCACCTCTCCGAGGAGTGCGTGGTGCTTAAACCGGAACTCTGCGAAGGCTCCACACCTCACAAGGCGCATGAAAGCGGTTCAGGGTTCAGAGCACACCGAGTGAGATCTACAGCCGAGCTGGCCAGATAAGGTCAGAAAGCAGGAGGGACGCGAGTTTCGCCTGTCTGCGATGAGCCAAGCCGCACATCCACGACGTCCTTCCCGCTCATGAACTTTACCTGAGCATGGGACGCTTGGCAACCGACGGATACCACAGGCTGCATCTGGAGCAAACTTCCCAAACTCCAAAGCTCCAGACTCTAGCCATGACTCCAAAGCCCCGAACTCGCCGCCAACCCCTCTCGGTGAGTGGCATTTCGTGCCAAGTGGGGCGCAGCCACACCGAAGAGACGCTGGTGGTCGATACCGGCCTCGTCGAAGGGCTTCATATCTATTACTCGGGGTTTCTGATTTAATTGGTTGTCGTTCTTCTCGTGATGACGACGACTACGATTCACTATTATCTATGAGTATCGTTCTCATTTGTTGTCCGCATGCTACGCACCAGGCTGGTAAGGATGTTTCCCGGAAGTGACAATTTACACTACTAGCAATCAAATACTCACATTTGCCAGAAGTACCAATAACAACCAGCATAACCACCATTACCACGATTACAATACAGTAGCAGTAACAATGATTGGGTCTAGGGGCTTTAAGCTTGGGTACCTTGAGGGTGCGTCCTAAGTCTTTAGCACCAAGTTTAAGCTTGAGCCCTCTCAAGGCCCACAGCAATAAGAGCGCTCCAAAACGCAAAGGGGTTTAGGGGGTTTGGGCTGTTTTAGTGTACAAGGTGTTCTGCTCCGACTTGTTTCCATTTGCACAGCAGCTTCAACTAGACTGGACCAGATTCAAGCACATCGAGGTTTAGGCAAATCGAAACCCAACCCTGCAACGTTAAAGCAAAATCAACGACACGGCCAACAGGAAACAAAGCAAAGCCAACCTCTTCTTCCTAACATCGAGTTTTGTCCAAGAGCAAACAACTTGGCTTCGTTCACTTTAAAGCTGGCCAATCGATGCGGGTGACCCTACAAGAAGCCCTAAATTCTTCCTTCGGTTGGGCCGTGCCTCCGCTGCTGCTGTCACCAGCATCCTTGCCATGGTTGGCTCTTCGAGTTTCGGGCTTTACTTTGGGAGCTCAAACACTGCCCTCAATGTGATTTTCGGGCCTAAACTAATATGGGTCTCTTGGGGTTTAGGGCCTACACTATGTAGGGCCTAAGTCTAGGTTGTAGGGTGTGCGTTTAGCACGTGATGTCGGGCTTTGGGACTTTGAAGAGATTATTTAGGCTAAAAGCGGGCAGAAAAGTTTAAAGACGCAGGGCCAACTGCGGACTCAGCTGCCTTGTCCAAGGCCCAAGCATCCCAGAAAGCCTAGCGCTGCCCCACGTGCCCTAAACCGTAAACCCTTGGGCCCTGAGTCCAAATCTGAACAACCACTGAAGACCGTTACTCTCAGAAGGAAAATGCCACATCTTGATACATACTTTCCAAGAGCTTCCAAGTGATGTGTTTTTGGGCCCAGGGACAGAAAACAGGTCATTTCGCACGGAGCACATCTAAGGGATGTCCTATCCTGTATAGTTCATACATATGAAACGATGTATGTTGTGCTATATATATATATACACACATATTATATATATATATATATATATATGTATGTATATACATGTATACATATGTATATATGTATATATATATATATATGTATGTATATTAACATATATATATGTATGCATATATATGTATGTATATGTATATATACGTTTATATGTGTATATGTATATGTATGTATATATATATATATGTGTATGTATGTGTATATATATATATATATATATACATATATATATATATATATATATGTATATGTATATGTATATATATATATATATGTATATATGCATATATATATATATATACGAACAGCTACAGCTGTCTGTGATTCCAGATGGTGATGAGGAGTCTGGGATCGAGGCATGCCACATGATTATATATTGGAGTTAAGGCGATATGAAACATGGAAAATTAAAGAGTCATGCTGGAGTGGTCTCCGGTGCAGCAGGCTTAGGCTCCAGGGCGTCTCGGCTTCGGGCTTCAGACACGCTGTCATTTTTGGTACTCGCAAAGCTCACGGCTCGCAGCTCTCGGACAGCCAGCACACACAGGAATGCCAGGCATACCGCTGAGGACAGGTTTTGCCCAGCACAGCAGGGTGACATGTGACGGCCAGCCTCGGATCCATGCTGCCAACGAGCTCTTCACCTCCACGTGGGGGCAGCGGGATCCGGCGACCGGCGCTGGATAGCGAACGAAGAGCTGTGGAGATTTAGGAACTCTGCCCCGAAGTTCCAAGGAGCATCTTATGACTCAGGCAATGGCCCATGCAGGCCAGATCTTATGATGAGGCGCCCGGCGGCATCTTATGCACAGTGCCATGTTGGGATGCATTTTTCTGTTGTTCAGTGCTGTGAAGCGAGTGATGTTCAGCAGTGGCGATTGTGGCCACTGATTCAGAGGGCGAGCCACTTTGTGCGAGGGTGTCCGAAGAGACGGCCTCGCTGGGGCTATCGTGGCTGCCGAGTGGGAGAAGCCAAGCACCCAGGTCCGGCAGGATCGCGCCGTACTGCTAGGGGCCGGCAGGAGCGAATGGAAAGGTTAGTCGGCTTTGCTGGAGTCCGCGTAGGCGAAGCAAAGCACCCGGGCCCTCTTGAAGGCCCTCAGCTCGCAATGATTATGAGTTTGTTGCAGACTCTTGTGCAATTGCTCGGGCAACTTGCTGGTGGCCAGACTAGTGCCATCGATGCTTCATTGTCGGAGGCGAGCAATGCGATCGCAAAACTAGGCCAGCCTCAGAAGGACACTGCCCCGAGCCGGCAGGTGCAACTTGAGGCCACGGAGGAGGATGAGTGGCAGCAGCCCCGACGGCGTCGTAAGAAACGTGCTGTTGAGGCTCAGGCAGTGGCTGCTTCGACCCCTGCTAGGCCAAGTGCTCCAGCGGGGAAAGGGATGCATCAGCTGCCTGGCAAGGGCCAAGGCTAGGCATCCGGTCCTGACACGAAGGGCAAGGGCAAAGGCAAGGGCTCCGGGCCCATGCTTGTTTCAGTGCCCCCTGTCATGGTTGGTGGTGGTGCTCTGCGTGCTGATGATTGGCACGGCAAGCTCCTTTCTTTTGAGGACCTCGGTGACTACAGTGCTGCTGGGGAGAGTGTGGTGGTTGGGGTCCGTGACTCGTCACAGGCCTCCATTGCGCAGGCGATGATTCGTGGAGCCGAGCTTAAGTCCTCCTTCCTGATTGTTCATCCGGACCCTGAGGGCAAGCAGAAGGCTCCTTACTGGCAAGGCGCGACGGTGACCATGCGGCCTGTTGCGAGCTGCCAGGTGCCACATGGAACAGTGCCCCTCCCGATCTTGAAGGGCAAGAAGGCGGCGAAGACCATCACGACGGAGGCCTCGGTGGTGGTCAGGGTCATTGTTGCAAGGGACTTTTGCTCACGATCCGAGTGGCTCGCTGCCAAGAAGGGCTACCGTGCTTTTGTGACGGGCAAGTTGGGACTCATGGACGCCTGGGGTGCCGCTGAGGAGGCACGATTGGGCGAGACCATTGTGGGGCTGGCGCGGGCCAGGGCCGCCAATCTGGCGGTGCTGCTTGGCAAGTCTGGGCATGATGGGCTCTTCATTGAGCCGGTTGGCAAGGAGGCGACTGGGCCCAACTACGGCGTCACTTGGATCGACAAGGAGGATGCCGAGGAGGCCGGTGACTACTTCAAGCGGGTCATTGCACTCAAGCCCAAGCATGGTGTGGTGCTTGGGCGGCGGCAGTTGGGCACCAGAGCGGAGGTGGAGCTCGAGAAGCAGTCCAGAGCTTGGCGGCTTACCGGAGCCCCCAAGCATTGGGGCACCGACGCTGTCACTGAGGTGCTGGAGGGTGCGGGCTACAAGGAGATCGCTTTGTCATCGCGGCTTTTCCGACGAGGGCAGTGCATTTGGTTCTTTCGAGCCATGGCCAAGGATGAGTTCTGTCTCATCCCGGTCCAGGAGGGCAAGGAGGAGCTCGAGCTGTACGTGCTTCCGGCTGCGAGTCCTCGGGGACAGGTGGGGCGCAAACCATTGCGCGAAGAGCGCACTCAGCAGTTTGCCAAAGAGCGCTTCAGCACCACGTTGGGTGCTCCTCGTGGCGAGTTGGAGGAGGGGGCTGACGGCAAGCAGCATCCTGAGGGCAAGCGCCGAGTTCAGGAAGTGCGCGAGCTGCCTCAGGGCACCGTGCTCAAAGAGCAGCCTCGCGACGGAAACTGTCTGGCGCACTGCATCGGCGTTGGCCTCACCTGGGCCAAAGGTGATGACAAGCGCCGACCGGCGCGCCTTATCCGCGCCGAGCTGCACAACTATATGCGGGAGAAGAAAGATCAGTTCGCTGCATGGTGGGATGGCCGCGATTGTGGTGATAAGCCTGCTACTTACACCAGTTTCGAGGAGTACCTGGAGGAGATGAAGGGCGATGGCAAGTACCTTGGTTGTCTTGAAATTGAGGCTGCTTGCTTGGCTTTCGACTGCACCATCACGGTCATCCCGGTTGCCGCTGAGCAGGTGCCAACACGACACGGGAGCGGCAGGCATGCCTTCTGCCTTTGGTACTCTGGCAGCCACTACGACCTGTTGCTGCCCACCGCCGCTGCCTACCCGTCGGCCGTGAACTCTGTGCAGAGCTTTGGCAGCAAAAGCGGAGGCCGAGGAGGAGGTCCCAGTGACGCTGAAGATGATGAGGAGCTCGACGCACTCACCATTTATACGAATGCCACTGGTGGAGGACGGAAGCCGCGACCCAAGCGGCCAAGGCTTCAAGAGTTGCCGGCGGCTTCGAGTGCGGCTGGTGACGACACTGCGCCGGACATCCGAAAGTGGTTTGGGCCTGCGGGCGGTCGTGTTGGCCCTGACGCTTGCTCGGCGGCTTCGCGTGCCAGGCAGCTTGACAGAGTCGAGGCTGGTGAAGGGCTCGCTGGCGAGGAGGACACCGAGAAGGGCACGCACGCCTACCTCGACGACGTCGACGACAACCTCGACGAGCTCCACCAGGCCTCCGTCGCCGTTAAGAAGGGAGCCCGAAACTTTTGGGTTTGTAGGGAGTGCGGCTACGACACCGGCAAGCACCCGCAATGGCACAAGCGGAAACACGCTCACATTGCTGCTTGCCATCCTGAACTTGCCAAACAGATGGATGAGAGAGCCAACCGCAGAGCCACTTTCGTCCCTTACAGTGAGGCTTGCTGTTGGCGGTGTCCTGCGCCGCAGTGTGGGCTTGGGCTCCTTGCGAACGAGGCCACGCCTAAGCAGAGGCAGACGGCGAGACTGAACCATGGAAAAGAGGCTCACCCTGAGCTCGACCAGTCACTTTTCCACAACCAGTCCAAATCTGCTGGGAATGCTCGGAAGGCCACCGTCGCGAAGCGCAACTTGGGTGTTGCGCGCCGCATCCAACGCCTCGCTGATGCT